CAAAATTATTGCAAAGTGAAAAAAAAAAAAAAAAAAAGCCATGAAGCTTTCTAGGCAGACCGTGCTTGTGCCACAATGCAGGATCATCTCCCAGTTAGCCTGGCAGGCCACCCTGTCCTTTCACAGGCAAATGTTATTTTGAAAGGCTGCTAAGAGCCAACAATGCTAATGCATTTGGGTCAGGATTTTCCTACTCCAAAGGCATGAAGGAAAAATCCCTTCTATCTTTGATGGGATTTACAGTATGACCCACCCCACGGCTGTGACAGCTCCAGCAGGGAGGCAGGGGTGTCAGGATGGGTGCTTCCATGGTGGGAGGCCATGGAATATGATTACCCAGGGAGTGCACATCATGGCACAGGATTACATGTACCATCCATCACTTGCTGACTGGGTTGTTTTCTCTTTGCACACTTGTATGGAAATGTAACTACAAAACATTCCTCTGAGCTGTTCACTTATGTGCAAATATAGCTTTAAATGACTTCTCTAGGAAAGAATCCTCACTATTTTATACAAATTGTCTTGCATGTTTATTACACAGAATCATGATCCAAAAAGAAGGGGATCCATCCCATGCCTGTTCATAACTCTGTTACACATTATGAGCTGAACATACTCCAGGCCCCCTCACATGATGAATGATACCTACTTCACTTCCAGCCTGCTCCCATGTGCTTATTTATTTATGGAGCCTCAGTGCTGATGGATACGCTCCCAGTTCCTCCATGAGACAGAGCACGTCACAGGCATTGCTTTGCAATGGGCAGTTTGGAGAGGGAGCAGTAAAAGCTGAAACTTCTTGTTTCATAGTGGCCTCACCACTATGCAGGAACACCCCAGGACTGCTCCAGAACTGCTGCACTTCCCACTGACATTGTTCCCAACAGCTGGTGGTTTCTCCACCACATTTAAAGCCCTTTTTGCTGCTCCTTGACTAGGAGCAGAGCACCAGGCTGGACTCAAGAGCCATGCAGGTGCATGGATGCCCACCCGCCCACTCCAGGAATGCTGTGCCTGGGAGGTACCCACGGGATGTCTCCTGCTGTATTTAGCTTGGCTGGCTTGGCCAGCCCATTCCATTGTCTGCACAGCCTCGGGCAGAGTGGAAGGAAACAACGCACTGCCCAGCCAAGCAAAACACAGGGAGGTCAAAAGCTGCTGCACGGCTTCTTGGAGATGACACACGCTCCTGAGGCAGGTCCACTTGTCTCCTGGTGCGGGAGCATCCTGCAGAGCCCTGCACCAACACCACAGCTCCCAGCCCTGGCTCCTGCACACACCACCTCCCTCCCAGGGATGAGGTTCTGTAACCTGGGTGGGAGGAAGCTGCTGGGGTGGGTAATCCCCGTGCAGAGCACAGCCCCCATTCCCCTGCACCGTGGTACATACGGCTTCAGAAATAATCCAGTGTTCATTACCTTGTCAAATTAAGAAATTGAGAGCTGTCAAAGTGTAGCAAAGATTGGAGGTGGCTTTTATAGCAAACCGTGGAATCTCCCACTGTTTGTCTAATCTAATTTCCTCATCCTCGTTGTCCTAAGAGAATCATTATAAGACAGAGAGAAGTAGAGAGATGAAGACAGGAACAATTTCCAACTGAAGGCACCTCCCCGTTCCATGGGTGTGTGCAGATGAGAGGGTTTATATAAGCTGTGTGGGATCAATAATTTCCCTCTGTCAGGTTTATGTTTTATGACAACTCTTAGATTTCATCCCTTCTGGTTAATCTGCCATAGAAAGAATACAAAAATTAAAATATTCTTTTGTCTGGCAGCAAACACTCCTGTCTTCCAGCACTGGCATTACGAAGGCAATGCTAGAGAGAGCAACATGTGGTACATCTCAAGCTCCTTCAGCTGAGATAAAGCCCTGGAGAAAGCAGCTGCTATAACAGCAGAGGGTGCACAAGCTGTCCAACAACAGCAGCAAACCCAAATAAATTAATAGCCAACATTGTCTGGGGAAGGAAAGGTTAAAACCATGCCAGCAACTGGTTGGGGACAGGCTTTTGAGGCAAAGCTGCCGTTCCTTGCCTGCTAATTGTTATGTTTTCCAAAGATGTTATCAACTAAGTTGTGTTCAACAAACTGCTATTTAATTACTAGAGTAAAATCCTGTTAATTACCCATCCCCAGAAGACATCCCTTCATCCCTGTTAAGTGAAATTCCCAACTAATCTCTCCAGCACTTATTGTGTTGCAGCCCAGACAGCAATTAGTGATGGCCACAAGGTGAGGGGAGCATCAGAGCTCGGTCCCCACCTGCTGCCAGTGGCTGTCTTCAGCCCTGGGAAGGTGCAGACCAGCAGAAGGGTAACAACTCAGAAGTAAAAAACTGTTCATTCCTCTTACCAATCCATGGCTCTCCTTCCTGGCTCCAGTTGCCCAGGTGGCTTCAACCACAGCCTGGCCAGCATCTCCTCTTCCCCTGTGCTCCCCTGGGCTGCATCCCCTTCCTTCCTCTGTGCAATCCACGCCTGTGCCCATGCAAGAGGCTGGCAGTGCCCCTTCAGCTCCACACCACCTTCCACCTCCCACCCCGCAGCACCCAAGCTTTCCCCAGGAAGATGCAGTGAGCACTTTCACAAGGTGCTACAAACACTTCTAAACACAACCAGAACTCTCCTCTTAGCTCTCATCTCACCTGGCTTCCCAGGTGTATCAAGGACATGAAGTTGCCACAAAATACACAAAACAGCATGGATAAAAGTGACAAGTGCTCCAGTTACAGAAAAAACTTCAGCCTTTCTGGATCGTGTCCAAGGGCACCATTCCAGTGTGGAAGGGATCAGCCAGGGTTTGTTCCCACCCCAAGAGGGAAGCAGGTTTCTTTCATTTCATTCTTTCATTCCATTCTTTCATTTCATTCAGTGTGGAGTTTCTTTGCAGTCTGCCACCATGGAAGTTAAATGTTTTAATTTTACATTGAAATGCCAGCAGAAATTAATTTTGATAGGAAGTGTAGGCACTTCTCTGATATCCATTTAAACAATTTAAAAGATTTTGAAGTACTAGGGGGCTCATTTAATCAAGTTCAATAAAGCAAATCTCCAGGTGAAAATAATTAATATTTAAAAGAGTATAAAAATTAACTGTTCAACATGATTTGGTATAAATACATCCCTACAGATGTCGGGATGAAAGGACATTTCAAAAGTTCTACTAAGTCTTAAAATCAATGGTTGCAAAATTCCAATATGCAATTTGTCATGTTCCTGTGAACTTGCACTGCCCAGTTTGATCCAAGCCCAATCCTGGATTGTGGCATAAGAGACACTGAATTTTAGTTGAGAAGATATCCATCAACCTTTATTCTAAGTAATACTAACAACTACTATCAGAATTAAGGCATATGGGAAAAAAATAGAATCCCTGATTTTATAGACTAGGAACTTAGAAGAATGAAAAATTTAGAATTTTAAATATGGACCTTGATAATCAGGACCTATTAAATTTAGTCAGGACCTTATTAATTTTAAATATGGATCTGTAGCTACCCTACCCCACAGCCAGAATGTCTCTAAATCTTTACCCAATGTTCAAGCAGAGAGGTCTTTATTAAAGAGACACACAAGGCAGCAACATAAAAATATTTGCCTGAAGTTGGATGAATAAAGTAATACCTTAAACTGGAAAGTTCCAGTGACATCACCAGATCAGCCCCTTCTGCCAGCAGCTCCAGCTCTACCGGAATCAACATCCATCCTGAAAACAAACCTGGGAAGAAATAAGAGGCTGTGGCTTGTTTCCAAAAGTAAAAGGAAGCAGAGTGAGAGGTGCATGATTAATTCTCCATTAGTATTCCACTTACATTTCCTCCAAAGATAGGAAAATATTTCAAGTGAGAAATCTTGCTCATGAAGCAGTTGAAAACATTTCTCCTCACTGTGTTCTAACCCTCACTTCTCTGAAGTCACTTTTCCCCTCCAACACACAGGCCTGGAGGCTGTCCAGGTACATCCATGCAAGCATCCACTTCACACCTCTTCACTGAAAAAAAATTAATCTAAGAACAAAAAAGCTTTTAAGAGAGTAAGTTCTAATGTAAAATACACAGGTTTGAAAAAGCAGGACCAGTAACATTTCATCCTAGAAAGCAATTATAGAAGCAAGACGCTTGGATTTTAGAAAATGTGTTTAATTAATAATGCTCATTAACTACACAGTTTTAATCCATAAAAACAAGTTCAAGTTGTAAGTACAAGATAAAGTTGTAAAAAAAAATCTCAAATGTGTGATACTTATTTTTAAACTTATTTGATTTTTATGGCTGCCTCTTAATATACTAAAGATGTGGAAATCAGTGCAACTTAAAGAGCTACCAGACAAAAACCTCTAAAGGATGAAGAAGTGCTCAGCAAAGGGTATATTCATCTCTACCTTGCACCTTCTTGTAAAAGGAACCACATCAATCTTTGGTAGCATATTAAAACACCTCAAATAGTTAATAGAGACAAACATTCAAAGGTTAACACTGTTTATATCCCTATTTAAGCTGCAACACAAATTTCTTTTCTGTATTTTTTGTTTATTTTATAAAGGACACTTAGGAAGTTTTGAGGGCTTGAAACTGCAGACAATGGGATCTCTTCCTCTGCACTGAAGCCAGCAGCAATTCTGACACTGACCCAGTGGGTGCAGACATGGGCCTGACATACTTAAGGAAGTGGGAGGAATAGATCCATTTTGTACAATTCATTAGAAATTATTCATGACACTTTTTCATTGATGTACAGAAAGATACCATAAAAGAGCATACAATATAAAACCACAAATATCCTATCACCCTTAAATAAGAGGTGTTGAGTTTGCAGGGTGTCCTACAGAGAAATTTCTGATTCTAACCTGAACAAGGGCTCTTCTGAAAACAATACAATTAAAAGACATTAACATCATCCTACACAGGGTTAGTCCCAAAAAAAAAAAAACCTGTTCTCTTCAATTGTTCATTTAAGGTACCTTTTTCTATTTACATTTACAATATGTGCTGTTGTCAGTGTAGGACCAGATTAAACTGAACATTAGAATAAATGCAGTGCAATTTCTTTCTCTCTTGGGACAAACCAGTGAGTAAACTTTAACATGATAGGAATGTTTCAAAATGAAAATTGAAAACACATTTCCCCAAGCCAGGGTTCCTCTATGTACAGCACATCTTGGAAAAGCAGCACAGCATCTCTGCATGTTTGCTTTTCATTAAGTACAGCACAGAAGAAGTCAACTATCTTTAAGAAATGGGAACAAATATAATGAGGTTGACAAAAAAGTGGCCAAAATATTTTTTAGAGAAACAACTAAGAACTAAAAACACCATCTCAACATGAAGCAATGAATCATGTATTTAGTGGTCAAGGCAACTGTTCAGGGTTTTTTCATTTTCAGTAGCAATAGGCCAGTGTGAAATGTCAGAAACTCAAAAGGGCCAACCCCGTGTAGCACTTCTGCAGGGCTTCCACCATCCTCCTCCTTGTCCAGACCAGCTCAAAACACCAAATAACAACAAATGATCTTGGCTCAATGCTTTGTACATCAGCCTTCAAAAGCATGATGCTCTCTGTGGGCTAGGGAAGACAGGAGGAAAAAAAAGGAATAGAAGAACATGTAAACTCTGTCAAGGAGTTGAAAAGATTAAAAAAAGAGAAGACAAAAATGTATAAATCAGTCAAGAGAGAACAAATGTGCTAACGAGGGATCTTTCAGAATAAACTGTTTGATAATACATTTATAGGGAGCCTAAAATAAGAGAGCCCTTAAAATCCTGATTGTAAATGGGTCTTCTAAATTAATACTTAAATTGGACAGTATGTAGTCCTGAGAGTTAAGATATTTTAAAATTTATTTTGTGAATCAGGCACACTAAACATGAAATAAAACAGATTGTACAATGAAATTTAAAATATCTTTTGATATTTTAAATATCAAAAGATATTTAACAAACTTCTTATCAAACTACTTATCAAAAAGTATTTAACTAACTTCTACACTGAAGGGACATAATTTTAATGCAATGTCAGATGCTACATTCCTAAGTGATTAATGATGAATCAGGCAGGATATTTCCATAGAAATACCCTACCAGCATCTTGTTTTTCTAATGAAGGTACAAATGAACTGTACAAAATACTTACATTTATAAAAGACCGCTTTAAAAGATGTGTGTGGGAGAAGTTGGTGAATCTTTTCTAAAACTTTTGCTTCACTTGCTGAAGAGGAATTCATGTTCCAGACTTGCACAACATCTTGACGGTCACGAACACTGACACTAACCCCTATTACTTCATCATCTGCATAGAAGGGGAAGAATCATCAAGGAATACTTTAAAAGTGAGACATGTCTAATTTGCTACTTAGGTATTATGAAACAGTGCCCAAAAGCTGGAAAAAAAATAAAGACGTGAAAAAAAGAGCAATCTCCAGTGAGGAAAATACCAATGTTCAAACCAGACAAAGTAGTTATTGGAAATATTACCTCATGGTGATTTTTATGAAGTGCCATAGGATTATTCATCTTTGCTATTAGCACTCCTAGACTTGATTAGAATGGAATCACAAGACTCCCTCCTGTAAGGTCAGCAATATGAACTACTAAAGACAATTCACCTACAGTGATGTCTACAAGCAGAAATGGGAAGATGAGGGTGAAACAACTAAAATGCCAGGAAAAGTACCTGGTGGAGATCAGACACGAGCTTTTCCAGACTTTGCTCTCTTTTTCCTTTACATATTGTCAAGGCAGCAACAGGAAAAAAAGAAAACAAAATTAATTAAGCCCCAGTCAGGCTGCTGCTGCTGCCAGTGCTGGTAACTCAGTGCTACACTGAAGAAGCCCTTTCTGGTGTGAAGTTCTCAGGATGCAGCTTTGTGGAGAGGTCAAAGGCCATGCCACAGCTGGGAGCTGGGAAGCACAGCTGCTCTGTGCATCCCAAGGAAAGGGTCACCAACAATACACAAAGGTGGTGTCAGAAGCACAAGGCCAAGGGCAAGAATCACCTCTGTGGACAGCAGAATATCATATATTTGCTGAAAGTGACACCAAGACAACCCATATCAGTGTATAAATGGTGTGAGAGACCATTTCAAAGGTTGTTTCTAAACTGCTCAGTAAACTTGAGAAAGGCCATTCTTTTTCATGGAATGATAGCCAGTGAAAGACAACTCCTAACAGGATATTCACTGTCACTGTAACAGCCACTTTTATCAGATATTCATGCTTAGAAGAGAAGCAAATATGGTGAAAAGAATGATGGAGAAATGTCTCAATCATTACCTGCTGCACAACAATCTGTAAACTGCTCTCCAATAGTTGCTAGCAGCAGCTCTTTCCAAACTGCAGCCTAAGGAGGCAGAAAAATATTACATTCACATTATTATTTCTTAAATTGAAAGTTAGGTTTTCTAGCTAAGTTTTGAGTGTCTTCTCTTTCTGAGGCTGTCTAGACAAAAAGGAGTATTTCTTGTAAGTGCATGCTGTGTTATATAATTAAATGTTGGGTCTGTACAAGATGTTTCATCTTAGCCAAGGAGATGCTGTGCCCACGTTTGGTGAAGAATGAAGGAAAAAAAAAAGAAAAAAGAGAGAAACAGGCATAAAGGTGTTATTTATGCTATTTACAAAGCACTGAAAGCTGGCTGAAGTTCACCTTCAAGCAAACATTTCAGAAGTGACTGAGGCCATGTGGTGCATAGTTTGAGAGATCAAAAGTATCTTCATGTCAAAAAGGGGCTGTCATTCAGCCTCTGAAAAACAAGGCCTCTGGGGTCCCTAAATTCACTGCCCAGTAATTCAGGCTCTCCAAACCACTTGTCACTTCTGACAATCTTCACACCTTGGATTATAGGAGGAAAAAGACAATTTCAATTTCATTCTTTTGTGACCACTTGGGACTGCGGGGGAGGAAAGCGGCAACTCGCATACAAGGAAAAAGCCCACAGGCAAAAATCAATTAACTTTCGGCTGAAATTTTGAGTACCATCTTTCAGCATTTAATGCCTTTTGCAAGGCTGTCACATTTTTCTGACACTTCACTTCTTCTGTTTAAAGGCCTGATCCAGAGCACACTTACACACATAAACACCATGTGTGAAGAGGTCAAATCTCCTTTCTGTGGCAGTTCACAGAAGTTACTCACATGCATTGGATTAGAGAGGCTAAGAGAAACAGTTATTTCATTAGAGCTCAAGAATATGCCTGAATATACTTCATCTTTCACACTTTGAAATGAAAAAAATATATAATTTAGCATAGATTATGAGGAAAAGATCTTTCTATTTTTCTTTGTATGCCCATAAGCAAACAGTTTTGTGAACAAAGGTGAATATAAATTACCATGTTTCCAAACTGAAACACTGCAGCTTTCATTGTTTTTTATAATACATTGCCAAATGTTATCTAAAGCAAGAGATAATGTAATTATTGGAAAGTAAACTTCTGCTCTTTGACTTTAAAAGGTTATGGAAGTTAAAGTAGTGTTTGGTTGTTGTGTTGGGTGATGTAAGAAGTAAAAACCTTTACAACAGCTTTATCAAACAGAGTTTACAGAAACTCCCTTACTAAACAAGGTCTGAGTAAAGAGTCACTGTAACATACCGTGCTTTCTTTAGGGACCTTCATTTTCCATATACCTCCTTTGGCATTGCTTTCTTCTTCCCTGTTATGGGAAATAGATCAGTGAAAATACACATTCAAATCCACATCTAGATAACCCTATGTTTGTGGTTTAATTTTCCCAGAAAAATCCCATCTAAAATGCAATTACTAACTCCAGGCAGCATGACTCTGACTTCTGACATCAGAGATAATCCTTTCATTGTTCATATGAAGTGTATCTCTCAACACCTAATCCTTTTTCTAAGTTTTGTGTGTTGGAAAACACTTGTATTTTCCCTGACTACAGACCATCTTTGAAGTGGCTGCTCACTGCATGGGAACAAGCCACAAAACAATTTTACATTTTACTATGGTAACCTTTAATTTTGGAAAACCTCTGGCAGATTTTCACAGAAGCAGCTTTTTACTCTTCCGTTTATTCAGTTTAATAAAAGAACATGAGCACACTTCATTTCAGTTCTGTGACAGCTAGAAATTAATTGCCTTTATTAAAAAAAAGACTGGAGCTGCTGCGGGTCAGGGCAGATGTAACCATTAAACTGCCTTGTAATGACAAAGGCACAGTGTACTAACCTGTGAGCTTCCAAAGTTTATTCTGTCACAATTCTTTTCCTAAGACTTTAAATTAGGGCTTCTAGTTTCCTGTTAAAACTCTGTAAAGGCCAAATTAAAGGAATAACTTAAAAATTCCTCTTTGGAATATCTATACCCAATGTGATACCTATAGAGATTCCTCAGGATCAATGGTCTCCCACCAATCCTGAGAGATGCTGGGAAAAAAAGGGGGAAAACTTTGGGAGGACATCTTCAAAAATCTGCATCCTCAATTCTTACTTCAGGATTTCTCTTTCTTTATAAAAGAAAAAAATACAAAATGCTGAAATTGGCCAGGATACTGTAATGGTAATCTGAGAAAAGCTTCTTGGCAGTAATTATTGAAAAGTTAGTAAATCACTGATGATGAGATCAATCTCTTGCAATCCCTTTCCTAAAATGCAAAATTACTTTGACAGGCTTAAAAAAGTGTTTAATTTTCAGAAATTATCTTTGTATTTTACACCTTTAGTAGTCACTTAACAAATAAAGGCTTTTAAAAGCCTCAAAAAATCAAATCCCTAAATGCTCTCGTTCATCCTTACAAAGGTATGAAGGCCTGGACACAATGGTCCAGTTTATTTACACAGATATCAATGTTTTTTCATACCCACTTTAACTATCCTGACAACTCACAGTATTTTCAGAAAAGTAACATAGACTTTCAGATGTATTTCACTTTAGAAAATTTGCATTTCCAGTAGATTAGGACAGATATCTCATGTAGTAAGTCACCACAAAGTTAGACAACTATGATTAAGTTAAAGAACCCTAATGAAATCATAATCTATGTAAATAATGCTAAAAAGATCAACACTCTTCAGAAAGTGCTGAGATTCTCTGAGACAGAACTGAAACAGGAAGAAGGGGTGCAAAGTTTGATTTCTGAAAGGAAAACATCAATTATTTATATTTTATTCCATTACTATCCTACAATCAAGTAGGAATTTGCTGCAATGAATCACCTCATAATGTCTTAAATTACTTTTGATCCAAGGTGCAAGGACATTTATAAGCATGGACTTCACCTGTACCTTTGCACAGGTGAAAAGGGAGTGAAGGACCATCAGTTGTTTGCATCATTATTTCACCAGCTTCAGTGGAAACAAAGAATGTGCAAGCTAAAAAAAATTCAAATAGAAATAACTTATTCTGTGTATTCCTAAATTGAAATTCAGAGTCATATTCCAATTCCTCAGCTTCTATTTCATAATCTATTTTTGTACAATTACGTCCAGAGGTGGACAATGAAATTACAGTTTTTAATAAAGACTCTTTGGCACAAGTCACTTTTAAACTGAACAAGGACCTCAGGGTATTTCTTTCATTGGTCTCTTGAGTTCAGGTGTTTGCAGCCAACAGAAACAAGACCCTCCTGCCCCACACCTTTGACTCCTTCAAGTTATTCCAGTGCCTATTCCCAGAAATGTCTGATGACAGCACACGTACCAAAGCGGGCGCCTTTCTCCCCGCATTAAATGGTAGCTGCATCTCAGAGGCAAGTTTGTCACAGGAGGAATGTTGTTGTAGACACTCCAGAAATCCTTGAAAAGGAAAGATATTAGTTGCATTAACACAAGAGAGTGTTTCATGCAGATTTATTTCCTTGCTAATTTCCTCTGAACCAATTACACATCCTACTCCTGGAGAACGGGCACCTTCTAAGTTATAATAAAATGCTCTGAAAGGAACTTCTTACAGAATAATTTCTACTTTTATTGTTTTTAGTTGCCAATCCTGCATATGTGAAGGTGGAAAAAAACGGAAGCAGTCCAAATGCGGATTATCCTTTTGAATCCAGAGGGAAAAAAATCATCAAAACCAGAGTTACGCTGACTATGTCAGAACAAACCAGCACAGAAAACTTCCTTAGTATATTCAAAAGATGCATTTATATCAAATATCCACCTTGCTTCACTTAAGACTAGCCTAAGTGTCATTATGATTATCCTGAGTTACAAAAACACCACAAACCATAATGCTGGTGAACTAAATGTCTAACCAGCAACCAACTAGTTTGTCTGAGTGAAAGGTTTCAACCAGATGCAAAGAACCTGAAATGCACATATTAATACAGGAGTGGAGGAGAAATTCAAAGATTCAAGTTACCAGGAACCATTGGATTACTTCCCAATGTTTCTGCTGGTCAGGGAGGTTTGGGGTGGGTAAAAAGGCACCCAAAAGCAGTGGTGAGCAACAGGGAGGGATGATTGAAAAGATCCCAATCTCTTCTCTCTTTATCCAACCGTTGGGAATAAAAGGATTTTTAAAGACTTAAGTTGCATCAACACATGGTGATGCAATATTAATCATTAGTGCAGCTCATTAAGTATTATCTAGACATAATATGTAAGTATTATCTAACACATTAAGCAATATCTAATACTTAATCACTAGTACAACTTTAGAAACAAGGATTGCAACATTATGTGATAAAATTTTGTGGCCCTTGGCAACTCTGCCTAACAGCCATTAGCTCTACCCAGGCACAAGAAGAAATTGAAGACTACTAAAAATATGAAAACTTGGTATGAAATACCCATTTTGACTATGATCTTACTCTTAAATGGCTGTGAGCCCAAACCCTAAAGCTACTTGCAGAAGGAGCAGAGAGTACACTGGTACATGGCTGTGTAAACATTTGAAAGCTCTTTTCGTCCTGAACTAGGGATGTGGTTTGGAAGGTTTTGTGTTTGGAAACCTCATGCAATGTAGGAAGTTGCGCAGACCTTCATGAGAAAGCCTTATTTAAAACTTCAGTAGATTGCTACAGGTGTGCTTCTCAAAGAGAAGGGTATGGCATCACCCTAAAATTTCAGAGATTTAGTGAACTAGTCACCTTAGCACTAAGGTGAGACAAATGCCACTTTGCTACACACTTCATGCTAACTGTGGTATTAAAGCAGAAATACAATTTTATTTGCAAGAGACACCCACTGCTGGGCAATGGCAGATGACACAGATATGCAGAATTTCTCACTGCTGCCAGTATTACACAGTTTAAGGGTCCTTTAATTCAGTTTGCTAGAAACTTTTTTTAGATACATACTCAAGGAGAGAAAGCCCACCAAAAAAAATCCACACGCTGTAATTTTTAGTCTTTGGCAATTAATTTCTGTATTAGAAAAAGGAGAAAAGGCTGGAAAGATATTTAAAGTATATCAAATATTCAATGAACTAGTGGAAACTCAGGAAGGTTTAAGAATCCACGTGCCCAATCCAATATGCCTCCTCCTTTCCCCATCCAGAAAGCCAAATGAAATTCAAACACTGACTCAGCAATACAAACACACAACACCAGAACCACTCACGTTTCACACCTCAGGTAAGCAAAGCCACAGGTGTGACTCGTCCTAGGAGGAAAAACGAAACTTGAGGTGTGAAGTTACATTAATTTCTCACATTAATAACATGGGGCAGCTCCTGTAGCAGAGCCAGGAGCCTTACCTGCACTGTTTGTACTGTATATATCTTCTTCAAATTTAATGCACATTCAGCCGCTGTTGTACCAGGAAGTGACCTTGAAGACAAAGCACTGATTAATTAAAATATTTATTTATCAAGGAGGGGGAGAAGGCAGATAGGGAATGTGAATCGCATGAGTGTCAAGTTGAAATGTTCACATGTCAAAGGGGAATTCCACTCCAAATTATCACAAATCACTTAAAGGCAGGAGTTAGAGTTCTTTAATACTTACGAATAAATTAATATTTGCCAAGTAATTCGTAAAACTAAACAGAAGTATCAGGAGTTTTAGCCAGCAGAGCAATGCTGCTCTCAGAGCTACCACACACCATCAAAGCTCTGCTGTTCACAGGCTATCAGAAGGGGACCGCATTATCGTACCCCGGAATTATTTTCAATTGCATTTAATACACCCCAGCCGCAGTTTTTAGCATTTTAAGGCGCTGCCTGTGCTTCACACTTCGAAAAGGAAGCGCATCCGCACACCGGGCGCTGCCGGGCCCTCACAGCGGGCCGCTAGGTGGCGCAGGCGCACAGCCGGCGGGCACGGCGGGGCGCGGGCACGGCGGGGCGCGGGCACGGCGGGGCGCGGGCACGGCGGGGCGGCCGCGCCTTCCCTCAGCCCCGCGCCGCCCTCACCAGCGGTCACAGCCGCCACGAGCTCCTCGCTACCGCTGAAGGGTGGGACACGCACACGGGCTGAGGAGAAGCACAAGTCCCACAGGTCTGGCTGTGGCACCCAACGCACCCAGGGAACCTCCTTGACTCCAGGCAGTTCTTCCACCACCGGCACCGATGTCTTCAAGCCACACTTACCATCAGCACGCCGTGTAAAGCCAAGACATCCTTGGGCATCCAGTGAGACATCCTTGGGCTGGTCTCACTGCCACACACCCGATACACCAGGCGTGGTTCAGCTTCTGTAGCTCACCCTCAATGCTGGCCATCACCAGCTCCCACCTGGAGCTGCCTCTCCCCCTCAAAGGCCTTCAGGGGAAGCCGTAAGAGGAGTGGTTGAGGTCACTTCATCCTGGAGGAGACTGAGGGGAGATTTTGTTGCAATCTACAAGTTCCTCAGGAGGGGAAGCAGAGGGGCAGGCACTGATCTCTGCGGTGACCACTGACAGGACCCAAGGGAATGGCTGGAGCAGGGCCAGGGGAGGTTTAGGCTGGAAATCAGAAAAAGGTTCTTCCCCCAGAGGATGGTGGGGTACCGAACAGGCTCCCCAGGGAATGGTCACAGTCCCATGGTCGCTGTCAGAGCTGCAGAGCACTTGGACAATGTTCTCAAGCACAGGGTGTGCCCCTTGGGGATGGTCCTGTGCAGGGCCAGGAGCTGGATTCAATGATCCTCATGGGTCCCCTCCAACTCAGGATATTCTGTGATTCTTTAGGCACACACAGCAGCAGCTGCATCCCATCATCTGAAAGGTCTTTTCCAACCTAAATGGTTCTATTTATAATCTTTTCCATGACTCTTCAAGTGTGTGGGACATGGGATGGTGCATCCCACACCCCCAGAAATCCCTGTGTTCCTGTCACTGCACTAACATCCTAACACCCACCTTATAATTCCCAGCACACAATCCCACAGGCACAATTTTGGGGGAATGAGGTCAAAATTGCTAAGGCACATTCAATTTCTTAGAACTAGAAACATTTTTCTTTCCCTTCAGAAGCTGAAGTAGGATTTCTAAAGAAAAATGAAGATCAAAGACAAAAGCAACCTCCCATTGTGTCTCAGAAGAGGAAACAAAAATGTGTAAAATTACTAAATCTGGAAACAGAAGCAAGAGTGCAGGTTTAAGGAAACAGAAGAAAACGCAGCTGTTGCTCGGGTACCAGCTGAAGAAAGGATAAAAGCAAACCAGATCTCAGCATCCCTCCCTGATACATCTGATCAGCATGAAATACGTCCAGGGAAACACTGAAGTTACTCTCAGTTGTTACACAGATAATTGAAGCTCTGGGCAAACCCTAGATATTCATGTAAAGGAAGAAATTTAATATGCAAAACTACTGAAAGAGCATCACATCTTCAAAACTCTAATAATAGCTCTAAGGTTTTTTCAAGGCTCCTATTAAAATAAGCTGCTTTAAAAATACATACAAAACCAGCAAAAAAATACCTCCCAAGTTTTTCAGTATAAAACAGGCAAACCCATATCTGTTTTCCTATTTGACTGTTAATTATCCGAACTAAGAGCACATTACCGTGGTGGAACTGGCAGGAAACAAACAAAAAAATCAACAAGAAATCACCATGGCACAGCTGGTAGTCCTGTGGCTCATGAACTATGACAGCTCCCATGAAAAAACTGATAACTTAAAACCAGCAACAAAAAAATTCTGTCATCAACATGATAAAAGGAATTATCATAGTAAGGTTTGGAGGCCTGGGTTTTTTTCGTGTGTGTGTTTTGGCGATTTTATGTACACTTTACACTCAACATTAAAGAGCAAAAAGAGAAATTCACAATTTTGCCTCTTTTTGTCTCACCCCACTGCCCAAGAAATTACTTCTCTTCTGGACTATTTCTGCCACTGGTGGCTTAGCAGTCACCAAGGCATCTGGCATTACATATGCTGTACAACAGTTACTATCATCACTTGATATCCTCGTGCTGATACTGCCACTGAGTTGCTTCAATAGTAAGGCCTACTCAAATAAAAGATTAAAATGTATTCTCTAGCCATAGCCTTCAAAGGTTACCTAGATCATCATGGTGGCCATTTAGAAAATTTAATGCCATTTAAAAGAGCAGCTAGGACATGTAGACAGAATATACCACTCCAAGGTTATAAAATGGTTCACTTTGATAGTTGCAAGTTTTCCAGAGAAACTGTGATCAGCTGGCAGAAAGCACCAACCAACCAGAAAATTACCTATTTTAAAAGTTATGGTGAGTGACCATTTATTCCTAGTACCCTGCTCCAGACCCACCAGACTACAGTGTTATTTCAGCCTTTCATTCAGCTCTGGAAAGTGTAAGTCACTTATGGATATGAGCATGAACACCCAAATGTTTTTATATGAAAAACAAACAATCAAGCAAAACCAAAATCCTACTAAAGTACCGTAATTGAAAAAAATGCTGATGCATCAATTTAAAAGTTCAGGATCATTTGCTCCAGAATTTACACCTGCACAAATTTGGTTTAATATCAGTATAAGGCAGGGACAGTATTTTAATCAGATAGACAGAAGAAAAAAGCCTTGAATTTCCTGCAAAATGCCAGACTGCTGACACATCTGAACTGTAGTGTTTCTGTTTCACCCAGAAACTCAGCAGATCCACGTAGATGACCACTCAGAAGTTTTGTGCCTTGAAACCCATGAAATTGGGATTTATTTTCTTTTTAGTTGAGTACGCATTTTCAGTTCCGTTTAAATGAAGTTAGCAGAAAAGACAGATGATTTTCAAGAGAAAGAATCTGTAGAAATTCCTATTTCTGTAACTCTCCAGCAAAAACTTGCACTTTAAAGTAGGAGTAGTGAGACGGTTGTGTACTTCACTAAAAACCTCAGTCCACGTGGTACTACAAAACAAGACTCTGCAAATATTGACCCTCAAAATGAAGCCATTATTGGATTCTTCCCATCCAGATAATACTGCCATCAGAAATACAATTAATCCAAATATGCCCTGCTGACCTGTCAGTTATTGCCATGGTGAACAACTCATTTCCAAGAACTCAACAGGCCCTGCTAATCCCCATGAGCACAGGAACAGGAAGGAGCTGGATCATGGCACCAGCCTGGCACTGACAGATCCTCTGGGGGTGGAAATAGTTGTTCTGTCACCACTTCACCTGCAATTGTGTATCTGGGTTTCCCATGGAGAGTCTGCACACAAAATATTTCTGTGGTTCTCCTGGTCTGCCTGTTTCATGCCCTGTGATGCCACTGCATCGTCAGAACCTTTATAGGAGAAAATTTAGTGCATTATCTGGACTAATTGAGTTGACTAATCAGGCCAGACCTACTGTACAGCACCTCGTGGTGAATCACAGAGGAACGTGGAAAGAGGAATAATCTCCACAAAATGAATCCTAATGCCAGCTTTCTTTGCTATTCCTTCATTATTCCAGCACAAATAAAGAACAAAGGATACAAAGATAAATTCCATTGTTTTATCCATGAATAAACCTCCAGGTGGTTGTGCTTATGTTAATTTCTGATGCTGAACTGTAGCTTTTCTGTTTTTCTGCAAAGAATTAAGTATAGAAGTTGTTTCATATGTGCTCACACTGGCCTTTGTTTCCCAGTGGGAATCTCATCACAGTTTTAGTGGAAGCTTTAAAAGCTGCCAAGCAGTTTTGAAAATACCCCTGTAAGTGCTTAGCCACAACTGCTTTTGGTATAAATAAGCAAAATATTTACTTACAAAACATAAAGTCAAAAACATGCTGTGGCAACTAAATAAATCTGGTAATCCATTCTGAATACAAAGACTGATTTCAAGCCATCAAAGCCTGTCAAAATGCACTTACTGGATTGAACATTCTTATAATATTCACCATCATTTTTCATTGTAAGCCACCTACTCATAAGCTGTAATAGATGAAATAGATGATCCTAGATAAATAAATTTTGCTATAGGGAAGAAGGGAAATTATTAAGTTTAGTTTCAAATATCTGATGTGTTCAGTTAGGAAGATTAACACATTATTAAAATGGTTCAGTTATCAAAATGTATCTACTCAGCTTTATATAGAATTCATCTACAACATACAGAGAGAATAATCAGCACACAAGGACAATACTTTATGTAGGAATATTTTGTCTTTCCTGGAGCAGACAAATAACACTGCTTATTTGACAGTGTTTATATGCACATGCTTCCCCTCACAAAGATACTGAAGAGTTAAACTATTCTTGCAAGAGAATTAAGATTATCTAAAGGGCATTGTTCGAAGTCTGGCAAGAAAACAGGGCAAGCAAGCCATGATCCTGCAAAGTGATGGGAAACTGGGAGGAGACACAGCCAGGACAGCTGACCCCAGCTGACCCAAGGGATATTCCAGACCATCTGACATCGTGCTCAGTATGTAAAGTGGGGGAAGGAGGAGGAAGGAGGGATGTTTGGAGTGATGGTGTTTGTCTTCCCCAGTCATGTGGGATGGAACCCTGCTCTCCTGAGGTGGCTGAACACCTGCCTGCCCATGGGAAGCAGTGAATTAATTCCTTGTTTTGCTTTCCCTATTAAACTGTCATTATCTCAGCCCACAGCTTTTCCAGCTTTTACCCTTCTAATTCTCTCCCCAATACCACTGGTGGGAGAGTGAGTGAGCACCTGTGTGGAGTTTTGGGTTTTGTGTGGGGTTAAACCACACTATGTGATACCCAGGCTAAGTGACACTTGGGATTTGCAAAGTTTTTTAAGCAGGATATTTGCATCATGTCCACATGTACATCAAAAAGTGTAACCATCTTCACAGCTTTATATTTACACAAATATCACACCCAGATCCACAGCTCCAAATCCCATTAAGGGGTGGTTTCAAGTGCATAAGGTGGCTTGTTATCCAGGACAGCCCAGTCTGTGACGATCATGTCACTTGATTTTTCCTTTTGTGAAATTCCAGTGTTGTGTGCTACACAATACAGTGACTAGATTGGCAATGCTCATATTTTGTTATATTCAGTGATGCATATTGACACTTCATTATAAAAAATAACTGAAAGACTATATAATGTAGAAAACCTAAGAAGGCAACCTTTCCTTTCAGAGCCAGAAGCTACTACAAGCAGAACCAGTCTTCCTGAAATAAGCACAGCTGTAAAGAGCCACCAGCATGAATCAGCTTCCCAAGGTGGCACCAAAAGCCCCTGCAAGCCTTGCTGAAATTCCTCCTGCTCCCTAACATCACTGCAGGCAAGAATCCTACCAATGAGACATGTGGGTATGAACTTGGAAATCTGTACAATGGACAAAATAAGCAGCAAATCTAAACTCATGTTTTCCAAACTTCTAGCACTTGACCTTGGAACATGTTAAAAACGACATCTCATTTGTCTTAAGAGGAAAACACCTGCCAGCTTCTCTGCATCTTCTTTGGAACTGCTAACCTGCAAGCATTTCAAGATCACAGATAGGATCTTTTTTTGTCAAACTGGTGAATAATATTCCCCCAATTTCATCATGCTCATTTTCCTAGGACTTTTATGGGGCAAGATAGCAGAGAGCACTATCAGATTGTTGCTATTTCAGACACGGATACCAAGAAAGGCTTAGCACTAACAGGAAATGCAGATTCCCTGTGACACGTGTGGGATGATGGCAATGAACCAGGACCTGGCCACAGGATGCCAGCCTCCAAATGTTCAGCCTGTGCCAATGCATTCACAGAAACAAGTGCTGATGTAGATAAAATAAAGACATTTACTTCTAAAGCAGGAGATGGATCCAGTGCTGCCATGATAAAAGCAAGGCCATGAACCCCAAGGGTAGCACATCCCTACTCGCTACAGAAAATACCATTTAGCTGATGGATATTTATTTTAACAGCATGATTTAATGAAAAGATATGTTTTAGAGATCTTAAAATTGTATGTCATGGATCTCTCTCACAGTAATTTAATAGAAAGAGATAACTATGTATCCATCTCAACATCTATTTATCCTTAAGCGTCACTTCTTCCTTCTTTTCTCTGCAAGTACAGGGTAAAATGTAGCAGCAGTCAGAAATCAATACCATCTCCTGAGGAAACAACACTGCTCCACAGTAGGTACTACTGAAGTTGGTTTAAAAGTGCCCACAGTTATATTCTACAGAAAGTCCAACTGATACAAGCCTAAGCCTCCATCAAATCTCTGTGGATGTACCAAAAAATGGTATCTATCTATTCTATCCCTGTTACTGGTAAACAAAATACAGTTTTGTATATTTATGGTCCCCCCTTTTTTTTTTTTTCTTATATATACACTCTTGGATTTATAAGTTAAGAAACAACAGTACTAATTAAATGCATTTACATGTGATCTGAAAAATAAAAAAAATTTCTGTAGAATAACTGAATTTTAAGCGTCTAAAGCACTGTGGAAGTAAGACTTAAGAAAAAGAAATGAGAGGACTCAGGAAACCAAAATGTATTTTAACTGCTGACATTGATTATAAAAAATAGTCATGCTTATCTCCACATGGCTTATGTAAACAAACAGACCTGGTTAGTGACTTGATTAAACACCAGTTCAAATGATGCTTTTTAAAAACAAAGAAGCAAAAATTCAACTGAGATCCCAAACCCGACCATAACTGCGTCACAACTGCAAAAGGAATAATCAGAAATAATTGGTGGGTTTATTTATTAGATTTTATTTGCTGGACCTGAGTTTTCAACAGTTCCTTGTTCTTTCTCTGTCATAAGTTGGAAAGTTACCAGAAAAATAACTGAAGAGCAGAATTTTACCAATAGCATGGGGCAGTATATTCAGTGGCAGATAAACTTGCCTTCTGGAGTGGGGAGAAAGGAGAATACACGAAAAAAATTGAGAAAAGGAAGCTGTAGATTAAATAACAAGATGCTAGAAAATACATGCTAGGAAAACAACACCAAATGCTGGTAAGAAACTTTCAGTTTTCACTTTGGCACTTCTTCCCTATTCCTCGCTGTGTGCACCACAGGGGTGAGCTCCCTTGGCAGCCTCTCTACGCGGCATTAGCGGCTGAAACTTCAAGCAAACGAAGTGTAATAACAACCTGCAGGTAATTAATAAATTTAGCTAATCCTTCAAAACCTATCACTTCGGATTTTAAGAACTGATCAAACCTGACATTAAAGAGTTGTAAGATTCGGCATGTCACGGACGCTGGGACCGGGTCCATCTGGGGCAGCCGGGCACAAACCACAGCAGCAAAGCACAACCTTTACCCTTCTATTCCCGGGGCTGCCGAGCGTCATCTCTAAATTTAGAGCTCAAACCTGCACCGACAGTGCCTGGACCAACCTGTGTCCGCTGAACTACAGAACCGAAAGCGTTTCCAAACCAGTTTCACTACGCGGAACCGCTCCCGGCCGCCTCGATGGAGACAGGCACCGGGACGTTCCCCATTCGCAGCCCAGCGTTAACTTCCCGCATCCAATCTTTGCACGAGCGAACCGATAATCCCAGAGATGCGCACCCCTTCCCAGACGGATTTGGGGGGTTTCCCCAGCTCCCACCGCCCCCCAGCTCCACTCACTTGTCCAGCCAGAAGGTCCATGGCGAGTGCAGCGGCAGCCCCGGCGCGTCCCGCTCGGGGGGGCTGAGCGCCATCTCCCCGGGCGGGGCGCGGGGAGGGGACAAGGGACGCTGCGAGGAGGGGGCGAGCGGGACTCGGGCTTGGACGAGAGGCAGGGGAGGGACAGAGAGACGGGGACAAAGTGCGATGGGAAGGACACAGAGGAAAGGGGCAGGGTGATGCCAGAGATGGACGTGGCCGAGGGACCATTGGAGAGCATGGGTGGCTCCCCGAAGGGGCACAGGCGCTCGCTCCATCCCGTTACTGCCTCTCCTGCGGGGCACAGCTGAAGGGAATCGCTGATCTTCTTCCTGAGACCTTTACAACGACCCACGGCCACGAGGGGCACACGGGGTACCGGGTGCCACCCCCGGCACCACAGTGCTGCTGGCAGCCCCTTCTCTGCACACACACAGTCGCATTGCACACCTGGCACGTGTCTCTGGGGCTGCCTTTTTGAGCAAAATAACCTTCGTGCTCAGTTTGGCTTGGCAATGCTGACCAAAACACTAAATCTCTCTAGAACTCCCACTTTTAGGACACAAAACCCTTGCACGTTCACACACGCTGCTGGCAGCCCCTTCTCTGCACATCCACAGGTCACACCACAGAGCTGGCATGTCTCTGGGGCTGCCTTACTGCTCAAAATAACCCTTGTGCTCAGTTTGGCTTTGCAATGCTGACCAAAACACTAAATCTCTCTAAAACCCCAAGTTTTAAGATAAAACATTTTCTCCATTCACACAAGGAAGGGATGGCTACTGTCAGACTGACCATGGATGGAGACAGTGCAACAATGAACCTTTCCAGACTTGGAGGATAATAATTTTTCTGCTTTCTCATCTTCTCTACAGCCCATTGGTTTTACAGGGAGATGTTCCTCACAATCAAACATGGACATGTGCAATACCCCTCACCTTATTTTTAGACTAGTACTTTTAAAATTAAGATTCTCCCCTTTGGGACTGTGCACAGTAGTAAAGTTAAACACCCACATAAATGATAACAGGATCAAAGACCATGAATCACATAGATTTCTTTGCAGGCACATTTAGTAGGATGAATAATTTTATATATACTTCATCCTAAAAGAAAAATCAATAAAGACACTCCTTTAAAGAAATAAAAACCTAACAGTAAGAAAGGGCAGAGTTTACCCATAAAAAGCAGTCTTCACAGTGACAATGAAGAAACACAAAAAGTTAATGATTATGTTGTACAGATGGAAAATGTAAATTAAGTCCAAATTAAATAAGATCTGCAAAACCAGTTGCACCATCTCTTGCAATTTAATTTATTCCTCTTTAAATAGAAGGCAAGATAATGACCATTTGGGAGAGCTTGGAATCTAAAAATTCATTGGTATGCCCACTCTGAGTATTTTTTCCCTATTTTAATGATGAGCCCACCAAAAATGTTCATCCTGAAAAAAGCCCTACAATAAATGTCCATATCTAGGCACAGATTTTCTTAGAAGAGCTGGAGAAGACAGGAGGGGAGGAGGAGAGTGCTAATTTTTATGACCCAAAAGGGCCACATCTTGCCTCCATGACTGCCAGTGTCACTCCCCACGCCTAACACATTTTTGGTGTCCTCTGCTGAGGTTGCCAACACAGTATAAATTTTGGATATGCAGCAACATCACTCTGGAAATCAGGCCAACCCCACCAGAATGTATTACAAAAACTAACTTTGAATCCAGCACCTGCCTCTGATGGAACCACACGCTTCAGTGAAAACCTCCAGATTCCATTAAGAGGGAGCTGCTCATCAGTTAAAACATTACAGCTCATGCTGAAAACAAATCATTCTGTTATAAACAACCTGGGCTGCAAGGAACACTGTAGAAATAAAACCCCCACACCTCTGAGACACAGAGTGAAAGCCAGGAGGCACAGCCTGTATCATTATCCCAAATGAGATATGTAAAGCCTCCATTTATTCCTTATTTACATCGGTAAATACCAGGTTTCACAGTGGCACAAGGAACGTTGTGGGAATCTCAACTAAGAGTAAATTAATTTGGTTGTGGAGGAAGGGCAATCACAGGATGCATCAAATTAACACATCCTTTGCCTACAGAGATTTCTAAGAAGTCGTGACACAGAGGAAAAAAAGAGTCTCCTGAGATGAATCTCAGAAGGAAAAATGATCACGAGTACAGCATCCTGATTCTGCTCAGCTACATCATGCTGCCAGCACACCTTGAGTGAAATCATTTCAGAGATTAAAAATCCCAGGAAGTTATTACTGCTTTCAGAGATGTATTTATAGGACTTGAATTAAAAATGTATTTTATTGGTGTTTGCTTGATATTTGGAAGGTTTTTGATTTTGTTTTTTTTTTTTTTAAGGAAACCCTCGTGATGCCTCCTGGGTTCTTGTACCTTCTCAAGCAGCTTTACCAGAAGCAAACTGTGTTATAGTGCAGAGACGAGTTGCTTAAAGCTCACCACCACAGAAGGGACTTGTGGCTCCATTCCTCACCCCTCCTCCCAGCCACATCTTCCTTTCTCTTGCAGGGCTCTCCAGGTAAGCTGCTAATTTTCTGCTAAGGCCTTAAAAAGCAGGACTGTGGGGCAGAGAGCGGGAGTCAGCTGGTAGATTAGCTCAGCTCATTTCCAATGGCTAACAGCTGAAATTTTCCCAGGTAACAACTGGGGAGAAAAAAACCCCAACAAACTGGAGTGGGGAATACTGCTCTGCCCCCTATTATGTGCTTGTCTGCACCCATTTCCAGGCACCTGAACCTTTTTGCCACACAAAGGCCCAAGCTGTCCCATGCTGGGGTGAATTAGAGCTGAAGAAGGCACATTATAGCCAGAAGAAACAATAAATACTTCATACCTCTTTCCATAGTTTTATTTAAGATTTAAATCCCTACCCTTATAATCCTTGCTGATCCCAAAATCTTGACAGCAATTGGTACATTACATGTGCTTGAAACATTATGTGCCTGTTCCAGGAGATTTTACTGTAGTCCCTGCTCCCAGCTGGTGCAGGAAATCCCCCTGCTACAATACAATGGTGTTTTGAGGGGGCAGAATGCCTCTTAAAACCATCAGGACCTTCCTTTCTCCTGCTGACAGTTGTGCACCATCACTGTGGCAACTGCAATGCCTGCATACATAAGAAATATTAGGCAAGCATGAGGCTTATTTTAGCTATATTCTAATAGTGTAGCACCTGGAAGGGAGGAAGGGAACAAGCACCATATGAGCAGCCACAGTGCATTTCCACCCTGGGAGTGTTCCACAGCAGTGTGAGGCGACAGGTACCACACCTTAAAAAACATCTAAGACATCACCTGGGTTTGTTCAGTGCTGCTGACAAAAAACGAATGGTGTGCAACCTTAGCTAGACCTCTCTCCAGCTGAAAATCCTCTTTTTCACTCTGGGGCAGAGCTGGTTGGAACATAAACCTTCCTGGACTTGAGGCATGGCTGGAGCACAAGCCTCGGCTGCTATGCCCAGCTGCTGCTGCTGCTGCTGCTGCCTCACAGCCTGAGCCAACAGCCATGAAATGTAATTTCTCTACCAAATGCTGGTGTCACGATCACTTGCTCTTGAAACACTGCCTGGGACTTCAGAAGCATATTAAGTAACACAGGAGCTGCTCCTGAGAGGTTCCCAGGAAGATAAACTGATCATCTGAAAGCTGAAACAGAGGTGGGGATGAAGGGATTTTAGTTGATATTTGCTTCCAGAGGCTTAAATAAATGTTTTTTTAAACCTTAAAACAAAATATTAAAGTGTTGAATCCCAATGCTTTTGGCAAAAGCTCCCTCATCTAGGAATGATTTCATATCAGCCAAGCTGTTAAGCAGAGGTTGTCATGGAAACAAGTTTTATTCAAATGATATGGCCAGAGATATACTGTATTTAGTGAGTTCTTCATTTGCTGCATATTGGGAACATGTCAGAACTAAATGATATTGCGTAACTTTGTTTTCTTAAAAACAACCTGGCTCACTGCCCCTGGTTTTTTTTAAGGCCTTGTGTCCAGTCCTGCCTGGGAGAGAAGGTTTTCCACACAGTACCTGCTCCACAGAGGAGGCTCCTCAAGCAGCTGGTCCCTGCAAGCTCCCAGAGAAGTCTTCCTTCAAGTACATGAACCTGCCCAAGTCAAACAGAGGAACCTTCCAAGCAGAGGAACCTTTCCTCAGCTTCTGTAACTGACAGAATTTATTGCTCCAAAATTTATTGCTCCAAAAAGAAGTGCAGTTCAATCAGATACTTTCCTCCCCTACTAAAAAAGTTCCTACAGATGCATTTTGAAAATCTAGGAAAAAAAAATCTGTAAAATTACACAAGAGTAATGCCAGTTCATGTGGTGGTGGGCATCTCATAAGTGTCCTTGTAAACACAAGGATCCTATTAACTCATTCTTGGTGACTGATGGCAGAACAAATCTCAGAAAGGACATGTGCATACTAAATTTCTACCTCTGCTTTTTTAGCTGTGAAGCTGTTAAAAAGTACAGGAACTTTGTCCACATCCTAGAAGTAAATGCATATTTTTTAATATGTCCAAAAATAAATGGAATAGTTCTTGCTCAAGTTATGAACTAAAATCAAGTCAGCTTTGGCCAGGACACTGTGTAGAAACTTTATCCTGAAGAGTGAAAACAAAAATGAAATACAAAATTGGCTCCAAAATCACTCTCATGGAAACCACTGTGCAAACTTTCTGGAGCAGCATCCAAAGGAAGGTGGTTTAACATCTCCCAAGGGACCAAGATTCCTGGTTGCCCAATAGAAGCAGAGCATTAACAAAAAGGCAAACAAAATTAAAACCTTACCATTAAAGTTGTTACATAACTGAACATTCTGTAAAATGCTTCATGGGAAGGAGATGGCATCTCATGACCTCCTGTGAAAATGGAACAGGAACTTGCTAACTTCTGGGCCAGGTGATCCTAGATTACTGCAGGCTTTCTAATTACAGTTAATAAAGGGAAAGAATTGGTCCAATAGCTCTTTTAGTATATTAAAAGCAAATCACAGGATGGAATTCTGCTAGATATGAGCATGAAA